TGCCTTTCGGCGTCACATAGTGTCCCAAGTACTCCAGCTCCTGCCGCGCGAATTCGCACTTGTCGCGGTTGGCTTTGTACTTGGCTTGTCGTAGCCGCTCCAAAACGGTGCGCACGTGTTGCACATGCTCCTCCAAACGCCGGCTGTACACCAGGATGTCGTCGAGGTAGATAAGTACGTATCGATCCAGCATGTGTCGAAACTCAGTTGTCATACCCGCTTGGAAAGTGGTCGGGGCATTCGTAAGGCCAAATGGCATAACCAGCCATTCGAAATGCCCATATCGCGTCTTAAACGCGGTCTTGTAGCAATCCTCCTGCCGGCTCTCGAGTTGGTGATATCCCGACTTGAGATCGAGCTTGGAGAAGAACTTGGCGCCGCCCAGTCGCTCGAGAAGATCGTCGATGTGTGGGAGAGGGCCGGCGTTTCTGGTCGTCTGCGCGTTGAGCTTGCGATAATCAATGCACAACCGCAAATCCTTGTTCTTCTTCCGGACGAAGAGAACAGGTGCATCGTATGGCGATGAGCTAGGCCGAATCCAGCCTTTCTCCAGAAGGTCGTCGAGTTGTGCCTGAAGCACACTTAACTCTTCCTCGCTCATTCGGTAGATGCAACCGCGTGGAGGTACGGCCCCGTCCTCGAGGATGATCTCGTGGCGGATGGGCCGATCCGGTAATACTCCGTGCGGACCTTCGAACACGTCGCTGTAGGCGTCGAGAAGCTCGGTGATGCGTGGATCCGGAGAAGAGTCCATCGATGAAGCGTCATGGGGCAGGAGGGAGTGGAGAAAACACACCCCCATCTCCTCGATGTTGTCTTTGATGATGGAAGCTCGCATGCTTGCGGCGGATACCACGTGACAGCTGACTGAAGGGTGAGGAAAAGCTACCGTGCATGGGACTTGTACTCCGTTCCGATCACAAACGTGAACGGTGTGGCGGTAGAAGTTCACCGGGKGGTCCTCGCTTCGCAGCCATGACATGCCCAGGATCATGTCGAATTTGGTGTCCAGAATGCAAAAGGACGCCGCCTCACTTGCGTGAGGGGCAAAGTACACTGGGATGTCGTCAATGCACTGGTCGATTGACTTGTGCGTGTGACTGTCCGCCAATGTGACTTGCGTGGGCTGTGACTTCCTTCGGACTCGTGGGCCAAGGCCGGCGCGTACCATGAAGTCCTGACTCATGTAGTTGCGAGATGCTCCGCAATCGATCAAAGCGCTGCAGGTCGCCTCTCCGATCTAAATGCGTACATATAGCAATGGTGCGTCGATGTCGTCGTACCGTTGCGTCTTGAACTCGCGGTCGATCTTCGCAATGTAGGCRTGAAGGTCGACAACCTCTACTCCGGCGTCCATCAACGGAGTCGGTACTACAGTGTGCAAGTAATCCCGCAATTGTGCTTTGAGCACGTTGCAATGCGGTTTCGACAAGCGATTGGACCGGGGCAGGGGCATCCATTGGAAGTCCTCAAAAGTCAACGGGTCGAGTTCTTCAAGACTTGACCATAACGTTGAATCCCCGGCGGTAGATGACGGCGAAGCTGCTGAATCGGTTGTCGATGGTGATGAAACTGTGCATGCGGTAGAGTGTTGCACGTGGAGCGGTTGGTCCAGCGGTGGAACCAAGTGGACAGCATAATCCTCGTAAGTGTACCGAGGACTTGCGACATTCGCATCCTCCCCAGATGTGTAGGAGGCTGCTAGCAAGGCGGCCGAATCTGGCAGAGTGGGGGGTGGAGTCGCCTCACCTCCCGCGATACTCAGTTTCTCGAGTTGAGCAGCGGCCGCACATCCTCCTTGGCCTGATCCTGGCAAAGAGAGGTCTTGTGCTTGGTGCTGTTGCACCAGTATCAGCAGCCGTAACGGCCGCGGTACTTGTACTCGGGCTTGGTCAAGCCGAACTTGACCCATGGTGGTGCTGGCTGTCCGTTTCCAGCCTGCGATGCTGGTTTCGCCTTCCCATTGTTCCGGGACTTGTTGTTGCTTCACGGCTGGACAGCAACCACCTGATCTCCCTCACGTGATGCTGGAGTGGCTGTTGGGTCTTCTCCACTGTCCGACTGGACTGCAGCGAAGTGCTGCCGTCGCGGACCAGTTCGTACCTTCTCCACATAGGTCGGCTGCCATGTTGACTTTTCGTGTGCAGCTGACCTGTTGGTCTTGATGATCTCCCTCGCCTTGCCAATGATTTTGGTGAAGGTGGTGTATTGCTCGCGATCACCAAGAGCCTGGCTCAATGCCGCACAGGACCTGTTGTAGAACTCACGACGCAGATGCGTGAATGGCAAGTCCAGATTGGGCACTGCCACACTCTTCTGCCATTCCGTGAGCCAGTCTCGTGTTGCGGTGTTGCCCTGTGACATGGTGAAAAGACGGTTGATGGCGAGTGCCGGCGCGTCGTCGACGATGAACCGTTTCTTCCACAGCCGTGTCAGTTCCTCCCATGTGATTTTGTCCTTCAAGTCTGGTACGTCGACGCCGTGAGAGGTTGCTAGGTGGGTCAACCAGGTCTGGCATCCGCCCTTTGGGTTCATGAACAGGGCGCCAATGTACGCATGCTTGGCAACAGGCAGAATCCGAAGTTGCGTCGCGAATGCTTCTCACCAGAGGACCGGATCCTGCTGCGTGTAGTCGTCGAACTTGTCCAGTTGGAAAGTTGGCATCTTGTACAACTTAGGATTGCCATCCGTGTTCGTCGACTGCAGCTGCTGGACCTCGGTCTTCAAGGTATGCAGCTGACTGTTGATGGTGGTCGGCGCAGTGAAGGTGCTGATGTCGCCGAGCATTGCCACTACGTGGTCAACGCGTTCCTCCAGTTGGCGGCTAGAGGGTGCACTGCTGGAAGCCCCAGCATCTGGTCTTGGTGGAACTTGTTCCAAGTYCTGTACACGGGCGTCCARTGYCCGTGTGGCATCCTCRTGCTGAGTCTTATGGTTYCGCACRGCCCGCTGGAGGTTCGCCAGCTCGGACTGTAGGTGGTTACAAGTGTAAACCAACCTGGTCACGAGCTTGGCCATGAACTCCTTATGCTGCTCTTCCGGTGTTGCCTCGTCGCCGTTCGGTTCGAAGTGCCAGAACTTGAGTCTCTCGATGTTGTTGGCTTCATGCCGCTGCAGCAGATCCTGGGCTTCCTTGCGGCGAGCCTGGGCATCTGCGTCTGCTTCGGCCTGTAGCCGCAGCTTCTCTGCTGTTGCCGCTTCTTCAGCCTGTAGGCGGGCAGCCGTGGCTGCCAGCTGGCGTTGTTCCTCAGCCTCGATCAGAACGATCTGAGCCTGGAACCGCTTTTTGTAGTCGGCCAGAGACTCGTTGGCCAGTTGGCCTGGCATGCCCAGAGCTGGGCCCGTCATGCTGATGTGGCACTGCTTACGTGTCACTGCTGATGTGGCACTGTTGCGTACGTGGCACTGTCTAACGTGTCACTGTGTCTGACATGTCACTGTTGACGTGGCACTGACGTGTCACTGTAGCTGACGTGGCACTGTAGCTGATGTGTCAGTCTGACGTGTCACTGCTGATGTGGCACTGAGGTGTCACTGCTGACGTGGCACTGTAGCTGACGTGTCACTGTACCAACTGGGAAATGCATGCAAAGGGGTGGGTGGGAGGGAAAACGTAGGTAGGCAAACAACCCAACAATACTTTCCTCCGGCCCTAATCAACAGATAAAAATAAAATAAAATAAATAAAAGAGGACTACTTCCCTTTTTTTTTCTTTTTTTTTTTGTATATCTGTCGATCTATTATGAGTAGGACATGTCAGAAGAGTACTATGAATGAGATCTAGGCTAGGTTCCGCAAAGTTTTGGCTTTTAGAAACTGCGATCTTGAATTTTTTTTTTGCGAAATGGAGTAAAGATGCGATTTTCAGAAAAGAACGAAATCCAGTTTCTGAGAATATAGCAACCTCCGAATATGCCTAACGCAATATTGGTAGGCTTCGCAAGATTTCGGTTTTCAAAAAAAATTTGCGAGATAGAATGGAAATTCGATTTTCAGAAAAGAATAATTTCAGTTTCCGAGAATATGACCACTTGTATCGTTATCCCAATATGCCTAGAGAACGAAATACTAACTTCAGAAATTTCAGCTATGTATGCGAAATATCAGAGAAACGAAAAGCTACTATCGGGAATTTTCAGACAAAACGAAATGCGATTTATCAGAAATTTTCAGATATTTGTTACGTAAAAACGAACTACTAATATCAGAAATTTTCAGGTAAAACGAAATGCGAATATCAGAAATTTTCAGATAGTTGTTGCGAGAAGAAAAA